GGCCGGGCCGGGCCGGGCCGGGCCGAACCGGGCCGCGTTGGCGCCGCCGGGTCATTGTCCTTGCGCGGGGCCGGCAACGACCTTGTTGTGGCAGGTAATTTGGCGGGAACTTTTTGAACGCGGCGGCGCTGTGACGTGGCCCGCCGGCCGCCCCGCGGCATTGTGGGAGGTGTAGTCCGCGTGGCGGCGGCCGCGGGCCCAGGTGGCGGCGGCGACGCTAAGCGCGGCCTGGGCGTCCAGRCACGGCCGGGAAGGCGCCTAACCCGCCTCTCGCTCTGTTTTCCAGGCTCCAGCTGAAGGCGAGGCAAAGGAGGAGGTAGGTCTGACCCTGCAGCCCGGATCTCCCATCCCTSGCCGGTCCCCTCGATGCCCACATGGGTGCCCCAGGCTGCAGCGGGTGCCCTGGGCCCCTCAGAGATGTGGGGGGTCCCAGACGTGTCTGCGGCCCCAGGCCCAGCCAAACCAGCCCGCTCTGCTCTGGAATGGGCCATGCTCCATAATGCCACGGTCCCGCTYCCGAGATGGGCGCCCTCAGGGTGACGTTTGTCAAGAGTGGCACCATAGCGGGAACATTCCTCACTTACCATTAGCCCTGGCAAAGAGAGGCCAGCYGGGAGCGAGACCTGTTGAACAGACTTACACTTTTAGAAAGTCGTTGCGAGGAGGTTGGTGATTTGCCCCGAACACCTAGAACGTGGGTAGGCAGCGGGTCTGGGACCACACGGTGGTAAATGCTCAGAGTTGTGCTGACATCTCTCTCTTTACGCAGCCAAAGAGAAGGTCGGCTAGACTATCCGCTGTAAGTACCTTTATTTGCTTATTTAATACAGCATTGCATGCTGCTTGTGTTCCTGGGGAGAGCTCTAGAGAAATGGTGTGTTCTCTGCAGCGGGTTGGGGGCACAGTCAGAGCACTGTCCTGTTCAAAAGTAGAATTCCCAGGTCTTCAGCATCAGCACGTCATAGGCTGGTATCCAGCTATTTCATGTGAGGTAGAAGATCAGTGTTAGTTCGCACAGTCTGGATGCATGAGGCAGGTGTCTTGGGTCAAGGAATACTGGTTTCAAATGGATTGGTTCTCTGCAGGTCTTTTACAGATACCCACTCATACCCATATAAATTATCTGCTCTGATTTTTGAGGGCTCAACTGGTTGGGTAGRTTGAGACCTGCAGAGTGTAAATGTATGTGGTGCTCTAGGGTTCAGCCCAAAGTCTCATTATAGGCACCATTCCACTTTGCTCCTCTTCTACAGACTGGACATCCAGAGGATTCAACCCTTTTTTAAACTACTTGCAAATGCCAAGTGGATATTGGATACTTTTTAAAACAGAAGTATTTAATTTTAGTGGAAGCTAAGATACGTGTTCATACACCAAATTATCTGCGAATGTTGCTGCTGCGTTTCATCTCTGACAGAGATTTGCACTCACAGCAGGCAGTGATAGCCAGGCACAGTGATGAAGGGCTCACCTGCTACCACTAGTCAATGTCTGTACCACAAACACTGAAGTGTTTGGGGGCAGTGCAYTTTTGGAGAGCAAAACAAACCAATTTGTCTCTGACACATTCATTTCTTATACTAGAGGGGAGCTTGCAGCTCAAAATATTTTTCTTTCAGTAATCTTCAAAAGTAACAAACACTCTTTAAACTTTTGTAGTGTTCATCTGACGCTTTGTTTCTTATGTTTTGTACAGAAACCTGCTCCGCCTAAGCCGGAGCCAAAGCCCAAAAAGGCAGCACCTAAGGTAAGTATTTCAGATATCTTGAGCTGAAGCTATACTCTTTTTTTTCCCAAGGTGTTCCTAGGGGGGGGAAAAAGTCCATACCTAATCACTTTATTTTCAGAATTTTCTTTAAAAAGCTGAAATGGATTAATGTGAGTTAAAATAAAGTGAAGGATGCAAAGATAGTTTTTACCAATTGCTAGTGAAGAAAAGTGGCAACCTGATGGGATTTTAAATTAGTTGTGTTGAGACTTTACTGCTTGCCTGGCAAGGCCCTTCTGTGTTTCATAAAATGTATGGTAGGGAGAAGGATGCTTTGAATAGAGACCAGAGACTCAGTTAGAGACGGCATTGCAAATACTCCTTTCAGACATAGTTTCTTCTTATATTTCATTAAAAGACACTGTTTTCAGTTAGTCATCAGTTTATCAAACTTTAATGACTAGAGATAACAGTTCTACGTATCCACTTCGGTTTGTTATTTTTGGAGATGTCAAAGATATTGGCATATCTGACAGTGTAGATAGTAAAGTCAACTTTTAAAAAAATTATAGCTCTTTTGGGCATTGGAGAAGACTTGAAATCTAAAAGGGAACATTCCTAGAGTCCCAGAGGTCTTTCTTTGTGTCCCCTTCCTCCCACAAACTCTCACATTGTGTCAGGCATTTGCTGACGGAAGAAGAAAAACGTTCCCGATTCTTTGAGCCCATTCCCAGCATACATTTTCCTTCATGGTTTTGGAAGGTTTTTTGGGCAAAGCATAAGTGCAAGAGACCAGCTACTTACAGAAGGGAGTGACCTGCTGAGAGCAGAGTCCCTCTTTGTACATTTAAAGGCCCTTGCAGTTGCATGTGGCGTCGCAGACTTCCAGATCACCAAAACTCTTCAGCCCCCTCGAGTTACTCTACGGAGCAGCAAAAGCGTCCCAAGAAACGGGACTGCAGTGGCGCTCAGAGCAGGCTCCTCACACCTGCGCGCCAGGTGGGCGGCCGCGCTGCGGGGTCCCCTTGCAGAGCGGTGGGGGACCCAGGAACCGGGCTGCTCGGCATCCTCGGGGAGCCCTTATGGCGTGAGCAGAGTCGTGTGGCCTCCCCCTTGGCTCTGCTGGGACGTTGCCTTGTCCCCTGCCCAGCTCATGGTCTTGGGGCCTCGGAGGAGTTTCTGCTCTTGCTTTGAGGCCAGGAGGCTGAAGCTGCATTTCTGGCTCTCTGGAAATCCCATCTGATACTGGTTCAGTATCTATGCAAAAGCGGACGCAATAAGAATTGTGCAGGCATCTTTACTTCTTATTTCCCCAATGCTTAACTTTACAACTTTCAGTTCTTGGAATGCTCTTTTGTGTGTAAAAGTAGATTTCATCCTCTTAAAGCTTACCTGTACTGGAAAAGAAAAAAGATCTGGGGAAAAAAATGAAATACTATGTAAAACACATGACTTTATTGCTGTATTGATATTGCCATAGGTATGGAAAAAATATTTTGGAAAAACTAATAAAATTATATTGCCTTGATGATACCTCCGAGAACTAGCTAAGAGGATCGAAGAAGCTTGGGAATTTCCCTGGGTGTTTCTTCCTGGACTCATTTGGTGGGGAAAGAGGCTTGACTCCTTAGAGAACAGTCATTAGGTTTGCCCACAAGCCAATTTTACCTCTGCCAATACTGTGTTGTGTTGGTTTTTTTAACGGGATGAGGGAACAGATGTCCTTCTGGAAGCAGCGCCGAGCCTTAAGGCTCCTGTGGGGCTTCYGTGGGCCAAGGGGCAGCCCATGGCACCCATGGGTGGCTCAGCACGGTGTGTGCCCGGCCCAGGAGGCCTCCGCCGGCTGCCTTTGCAGCCCTCCCATTCCTTTCCTTTATTAAACTTCCAGTCATTAAGGCAACGCCATCAAATACAACATCCCCATCACACTAAACTATATATATATATRGTTTAGTAACTTACATACGGAATTCAGGAACTGCCTGTTTATGTTCACCGTATTTGTGGTGAGCAGTTTGCAGGTGTTTCAGGCTCCCTTGCTGGGGCTGCGTGACCCGGGCGAGGAGCTGAGCTCGCCTCCCTGGTGCAGGTAGTGGCAAGAAGAGGCACCCGCTCAGAAGGGACGCTAATGAGGAGCCTGGCGCTGCACACGGGTCAGGATTTGACCCCACCGTATGGAAAACGGTTCCTGCAGAAGCTGGAGCATCACTTTTGTTTTGATGTAGCCTCATCAGCCACATAAGAAACTGCACTTAAATGATAGTGGCCAAGTTTCCTTTGTTACTGACACGATGCTGCAGAGCCCCAACTTGTTGGCYGGGCATGTGGCTTATTATAGCAAGGAATATTTCTGGCTGGGGGGGAAGGTCCCTCGGCTTCGTTACGGTTTTCTCAATCAGCATTAACAGCACATCTGAAGTGTTCTGCTGTTTCCACTGGTTGTACATGTTCCTTTTGTTCTTTGGTATGCCTTTGAGCAGCACAGCAGAAATGCAGGCCAGTTCAACTCCGACATTTTTTAGCTAATTTAATTGAAAGCCTATTTAAAATGGAAATTCTTTTAACCCCAGCCATGGTTGCTTTTATATTATGGACTTCCCTGTAGCACATTCAGGGCAGAACAGAAGTTTCTCCATAGAAACCTTCACCTCGTTCTGTCAGAGGGAAGTTCAGTGAGTAGCAGCAGGTTGTGTGGACGGCTTCAGAGCTGAGACCGTGTGGATGCAGATGCATAAGGTGAAAACTGTATTTACATAATCATGATCTGCCTTCCTAACAGAAAGAAAAAGCAGCAAATGATAAAAAGGAGGACAAAAAACCAGCAACAAAAGGGAAGAAGGGAGCCAAAGGCAAAGATGAAACTAAACAAGAGGATGCTAAAGAAGAAAACCACTCTGAAAATGGAGATACCAAAACTAATGAGGTACTTGAGCCACAGTAAGCGTATTTGGGGATGATGGAGGCAGTGAGACAGCTGTGCAGCCCTGAGCTGACTGCGTGTCCTGCCTGGGCTGCTGGGTTGCCTCTTGTGCTCAGCACGGGCTGGGCCTGTGCCACAAATCTGGTTTTAAGTTTTACACAATTCTTCAGAACAATTCTTCACATCGGAACAATTCAGCAGAAGTTCTGCAAAACACAACTTGGTCTTGTCTCCTCATGTACAAGCCTCTTTTCTTACAGGTTCTCACCACGTCAGCTACTTRCCTAAGGGCTACTGTGTTTTTTTTCCTCTCCTTCTGGCTTTTCCTAGTGGATTTCTTGCTCATAGTAGAAGTTCAATGTTTGCTACAGGCCACTGTTGCTGTTTTAGGGACAGACGAGCCTGCTGCACCCTCTGTTGCTTTTGATTAAGTGCTCTCCCTTCATGTGTTGAGTGTCATTACATAGCCAGTCGGTAATTTATTCTTTCATTCTTAAAACTAAGTCAAAAGTTTCCCTGCTAAAATGGCAGCATGGGGCTAACGTGCTTCAAAGGATCTTTGACGGGAGCTTTGCAAGTTTGATGAGTCGCCTTAAAAATTAATAGCAGATATTTTTATAGAAAACAGGGGTGAGAACTATTTTTCTTGAAGTTGGGACAATAGGCAAGTGTCCCGGTTTTACATGGAATTCTTAAACATCCCTGGGATTATGGAGATGAGAACTTCCATTTTACCCAGTGTGTGACTGATCTCAATCTAATCTATCTTCCAGACTCCTGCCTTTTAGTTTTTTAGCATTCCAGTATTAACTTGATCATCAGTTCATACTCTTTTGTGTTTAATTTCAAGAATTATCAGCCAATATATTGCTGTATTAATGTTTTCTGTGGTAGCTGTGTGTTCTTGTCTGTCTACCTGAAATGCTTGTCCGTGTGTGCTTACACGCTAGTCTCTCTTTGATGCTTGTTACAACGGAATCCRATTAGCATTAAAAATAATATATCTATTCTTCCCAAACACTTTTATAGGCACCAGCTGCTGAAGCATCTGATGATAAGGAAGCCAAGTCCGAGTAATGTTAACCCTGCCCTATATCTCCATCATTTGGTATCTGTACCTCCATGCTGTATTGTTAACAGAGAGGAATATTTTTATCAACTATTTTATAAATGCAGGTTTTTTTAGCATGAATTTAATTATGGAACATCTTCATCTCGGTTACTTGGGAATTAAATCCCTAACAAGCAAAACAAAACAAAAAAAATCATTGTTTTTAAATTTTGTGATTGTAATAGTTTGTATGGTACATGGAAAGAATAAGTGGTGGTAGCTTTTGACTTCTGTCAGTGTGTCCCTTTTTGTGTAAGTCATGCTTACAGACTTCAGATTTTAATTTTACCCTTGTATGTGTTGTATGGTTTCTTAAAGTGGGGAGGTCTCAAAACAAATAACTGTGTTAAACATTCCAGTGGTTCTGTGGGTTGCTTTTATAAAGAAGGTGAGATATTTTCATGAAAAAAAAAAAAAMCTAAGAGCTGGAAATCTGTTGTTTCCCAAATGTAATTTTATTTTGTCAGTTTTGAAAAATAAATAAATAAAAAGTGTAATCATGTTTTTAAATGAAATACAAACATTTCTTTTAAAAGGGCAGGTTGCTTGTATGTACCCACTGTTAGGAATTTTGCTGGATTTATCTTAATAAAAAAGACTCCTCAAAAGCTCACTGTGGTTCGTTGCTTGTGCGGCCGGTTCCCGGGAGGAGGCCGAGGCCCAAGGTGCCAGGGCGGCCGCGGCGCCCGCGCGAGGACCGGGTTGCTCCTGCTGCTGCCAAGCCCGGCTTAAGCCATGGAGATGCTGCTTAAGTTAGACGTGGCGCAGGCCGGGGGTGTTCCTCGTGCTGGTCATTGAGGGTGACGGGCCGGGTCCTGCACGAGCTGCAGCACGAGCCTAAAGACAGACAGTGGTGCTCAATCCACCTCGGAGCGTTGTTTCCCGGCACCTTCATCCCGGGAATGCCCATCGTGCTGCTTCAAGCACATGCTGCCAGAGCTGCCATAATGGGCTTACAGTTTTCCTATTTAAAAGGGTTTTTTTSACTTACACAATGATTTCTTGGGCTCATTTAGCATCCCCCGGCATGGTACAAGGAGATGTACAGAAGTGCTTTACATGAATGCAATGAGCTTCCCAATTAGTGACAGCTTCATTATTTTAGGAAATGACAGCTAGACTCGGAGACAGTATTTAAGTGGAGGTTTAATAGTGCTTTTTACCCAATCTTATTTTGGTGCTACAGCTATTCCATGTAACTTTGTCAAGAACACTTCACATCTTCCTCTCAAAGCCTCCATTTATATAAAGTCTCTCCACATTGATGACCAAATACATCACATACTTAATAGCAAGAAAAATGTCTGCAATGCAGAAACCTTTCCCTTYGCGTAAGATTGTTTCACAACCCAGAAATGTGAACAGCCAAGAACTTGCATATTTTATCTCAACCCCCAAATCTCATTCCCAGTGCAGCGTCTTATTCCAAGTGGGTTAGAAGTGCTCCAGGATCAGTACCCCGGGGCACTGGCTACTACGTGATGTTCAAYGTGGTTTTAATCTTCAAGAGCTGAAGCCCTGGGGATTTCTCTCCCTGCCCGACCTTTGTGCTGTAGAAGCTGCTGGATAAGATCACTGGGGTGCACTGAGCTGGGTGTCGGCACACAACGGGGAGAGCGTTTGGGCCCTTCCCCTTTGCAGTGTGTTCCCAATCCCACACAGCCAGACACGGTGATCGCAGGGACACGGCCTCGTGTCCCTGCAAAAAAAGCTACAGACATCTTCGTGTAGCTTTTTGCGGGAAATGTGATAAAATAGCATTGTGTGGCCGCTGGGTTTAGGTACGTGGGTTCTGTTTGTCTTCTCTGTTAGGATTATCTCCTATGCCCTGCGTTGGGCAGGGCAGCACTAAAACCAAGGAGCTTCTCAATGTTTGTGGTCCAGAGGGGATCTGCATGAGCTGTCATCACACGTAAAAATTCTTCACTGCATTTTGCCTGTTCTTGGATGATAAAAGATCGGTAAGAAGCAGGGCAGCGCGTGTGGGACACATGTGCAGTCAATTGCAGGGTCTGGCCAGACACTGCTTGGAGGCAGTTAGAAACACCAGGGGGTCTATCCTGCTTCCAGGAGATGATCCATGTGGGAAGAAAACGTTTTACATGTCCAGTAGCCCCCTCCACACACCAAGGTTGCTCTAAAACGGCTTTAAAGGAGCAAATGTGGTTCAGCCAGGAGGGTGAGCTCCCTCTCCAATCCCTGGTAACATCGAGCCATTTCTCTTCACTTTTAGCCTCTAGTCACTTAACGTTTCCAACATTGTAATTTATATAATAGCAGACACAATGAATATGACCGATATTTTCTTCTTAACAAACGGCTTGTCCATATGCCAAGGTATAATCAGCCTGTCACAGCCCAACTGAGGTCACACGGGATGCCAGGTCATCTCTCCCCGTTTTAGTATCCTGATTATTATACAGAAACATGCAATTGAGGGCTTGGGTTTGTTCATTTCTCCCTCTTTTGGTGCCCATGGGAGAGTTGTTCTTAATTCTTTAACCATTGCCACAATCGGATTCCTCCTCGCTCGTGTTCAGAGCTTTTCTGAGCAACGGGTGAGTTGCACAACTAAAGAGATTACCTTCCTCCCAGCAAATCCTCCTTGTCCCTTGCGCCTCACGCTCTGACGCTGAATCAAAAGCAAACTGCACGTTGGCTGGTTCATGTCTAATCACAGGTGTGAGGTTTTGCAGGGAGCAAAGGCTCCCAGTGGCCGCTCAGTGGCTGTTTTTCAGGTTCATTTGAAGCAACCTGCCTTCCCGGGGAGCCCTGGCAGCCAGGGGGGCAGTGCTGCGGGCACAAAACTTGCTCATTCGCCTATTTTGATGCTGCTTTTGAAAGTTTCGTAGAGCCGCTAGAAGGAATGGGCTGTGGGAGTTTGGTATCAACAGCAGCAACTAAAAACCTTAGCAAACGTGCTGTGGTGGAGGGGTCCCGGGGCCTGAGGCCGGTGGCGGGTCGGAAGCGGTGAGCAACGCTTGCACCTTGGGGTCCRTTAAAGACAAGGTGGCAGCAACTTGCAGTGGTAAAATCCCCCTGGAGCTCACGAGTTCGTGGGYGGAAGGGATGCAGCACCACGGACTTGCTTTGAGACTGAAACCTGCTGCAAAGAGGCAGCCCAGCTGGTCTTAATATTTTAGATATTTGTCGCTACTCAAGGCAGTATCTGCCAAAGCTGACTCTGTGCTCAGCAAGCCGGCTGTGAGGACTCCTGATGCTCTTACCTGCATCAGTGGTGGGAAACCTGCAAATCATTAGATCTCACGTGCAAAGAAGACCTCTGGTGGTGCCTCGTGCCGGGTTTGCTGCATTAACATGATTCATGGCACAACTTGTGCAGTGCTGGCGTTTGCCTCAGGATGCCTCTGAGTTTCAGCAGAAGTATGGGGGATTCCCATTTCTTGCAAAAATTGCCATATCTCTTTGTCAGAAGGATGGAAGGCCTAGAAAAACACTGCCAAGCATCCTGGCAAGCCGGGCTCCAAAGAGAGAGGAAKGAAGGGCCTTTCCACCTCTTCCTGGTGTCCATCAAGGAGACGGGTTGGAGCAGTAAGAAGGAAATACTGGGAGAGAAATGTCAAGGCTGCCACAAACAAGTAGAAAATGACATCTACAATAAGGTCCTTGGGATGAAAAAGAGGGCAAATAACCAGCTTGAAAGGGGGGAAGGAAAAGAAGCAGCAAGAAGATCGAATCCCTGGCTAGAAGCCGATGCTCTTCATGGTGTCCTCGTGGTGCTGCTCCTCATCCCCAGCTGCCCTGGGAGCCCCAGCCGCTCCCGGCCTCGGCCTGATCCCGAGGATGGATCCAGGGATCTGAGAAGAGCCCTGGGGCCACCGTGATGGGACCAGGGAGCTGAGGAGAGCCCTGGGGCCACCGTGATGTGGACGGTGCCAGACTGGGACCCCATCACCGCCTCCTTCCACGAGCGGGGCAAGAGAAGGAGCGACCTGAAAGGGGCCCTGGAGAAGGGCACGAGTGAGTCTAAACGCGTGAGCGTGAACTTAGGATCCAGGCAACACCTGAAATAAGCGAAATGAAGTAAACGCTCATGTGATATAAAATGTAAAATCACAAATTAGAAAGCTCTGCTTCTCAAAGAGACCTCAAGCCGACACGGAGCGCTCCCCCCGGCACGTCTAGCGCAATTGGACACATCCTAAACGTTTCCAGACGCTCTTAAAGAAGGGAGTGGGGGCAGCACAAATAACCCAGACAAAAAATGCAGTTTGGGRGCCTAAAAATAGAGCGGTGGGGCAAGATTTAAACCAGGTTCATCTCGCTGGAAATGGGGACATGTCTTACAYGATGCTCCTCAGGAGCCGGAAGGAGGGTCCGGCTGCAGTTGGTGCCTGCGGCATCCATGGAAGATGTCCAGGGAACCTCCGAATGGCCCCAGGTCTGATCSCTGCCCCAAGCAGGGGCACAAACTGCCCACGTCTCCAGGCTTCCATGACGGAGGTTCCTCCTGCCCATCCTTGGGCAGGACTTCTTGTCTGTCCCTTCAAAGCATCTCCTTCCAGGCAGGGGAGCTGCGTGGCCCTTTGGGATGTTCCTTTGGGATGCAGCCCGGCCCGGGAGGCAGGATAAAAGCTGCTGGAAGGTTGTCCGAGCCCTGAGCTCCAGAAAGTCCCTGGGCTTTCCGTTTGCTTGGGGTTAACCGGCCGGGGAGGGGGTGGGAGCAAATACCTTGGAGCTGAAACCAGATGTGAAACATGGGGCCRCAGAGCCGCGTCCCTCTGTTTGTCTCCCGCCGCGGCCGCAGCCAAGGCTGAGGCTGCCGCAAGGCTCGGGTTTCAGCGGAGGCCGGGACCTCCCCGGGACCTCCCCAGCCTCGCTAGACAAGAGGCTCCTGTGCCTTCGCTGAACGGGGGCTGCTCTTCCCCGGGCACGGGTCGCKTTACGGTTAGGGACAGTCCAAGCTAATCCTACGACTAAACCAGGTCTTTCGCACTGCAGCCTCCTTGGGACGGCCTCCGCGGAKGCGCTGGCCTCGCCGCGGGTCGGGACTCGCTTCCTTTGGCCCGGGAAGCGGCGCCTCCCCAGCGGCGCGGCCGGGAAATCCTGCGGCACTGCCTTCCCCGGGGCCCCCTCCCATGCAGCCTCTCCCGCTGCCAAGAGGAATTTGCAAATCCGGGCCAGGCCTCCCCTGCTCCGGTTTCAGCAGCCCGGCCGCGCGGCTCCCGCCTCACACAGGCTGCAGCCCACCGGGGTCCCCCTTTATACCTGCCATTACCCCAGGAGCGATTACAACAATTAACAAGTGTAATTAACTCTTCAAGGGGAGAGTTCCAGCGCATAATACCAGCAGCAA